CTTAGGCCACACAAGACTAACACCTGACTTAGACAACACAAGACATAGACAGACCAAGACTTAGACAGACCAAGATTTAGGCACGAGACTAACACGAGACTTGAACAACACAAGACTTAGACAGACCAAGACTTAGACAGACCAAGATTTAGGCACGAGACTAACACGAGACTTGAACAACACAAGACTTAGACAGACCAAGACTTAGACAGACCAAGACTTAGACAACACAAGACCAAGACTTAGGCCACACAAGACTAACACCTGACTTAGACAACACAAGACATAGACAGACCAAAACTTAGACAGACCAAGACTTAGGCAACAGCAGACTAACACGAGACTTGAACAACACAAGACAAACACCTGACTTAGACAACACAAGACTTAGACAGACCAAGACTTAGACAGACCAAGATTTAGGCACGAGACTAACACGAGACTTGAACAACACAAGACTTAGACAGACCAAGACTTAGACAGACCTAGACTTAGGCAATACAAGACAACATCAAATCAAAAAACAACATTTTAGTTGAAAACAACAAACAACAATACCCATTACATAATACTCCTCTAACATATCAACACTCTTCCCATTACATAATAATTCTCCAACTCCTCCTCTCCAAGACTCCTTTGACACTTCTCCTTTGAGACAACGACACTTTCCCTTCTTCTTTGAGGCACCACTCCTCCTCTCATGAGACAACACTTATCCTTCCAAGAAACGGACATCCGCCTTCCTATGGAGAAGTACCGTCTCCTCCCATGAGACGGTATTTCTCCATGTGACATTGGTCCTCCTCCCATGAGACAATACTCGTCATCCCATGAGACGATACTCCTCCTCCCATGAGACTCTAGTCCTCCTCCCTACAGACGATTCCCCTCATCCCATGAGACGATACTCCTCCTCCCATGAGACGCTGGTCCTCCTCCCATGGGACGATTCTCCTCATCCCACGAGACGCTGGTCCTCCTCCCATGGGACCATACTCCTCTTCCCATGGGACCATACTCCTCCTCCCTTGGGACGATACTCCTCCTCCCTTGGGACGATACTCCTCTTCCTATGGGAATATAGTCCTCCTCCCATGGGAATATAGTCCTCCTCCCTTGGGACGATACTCCTCCTCCCGTGGGAATATAGTCCTCCTCCCTTGGGACGATACTCCTCCTCCCATGGGAAAATAGTCCTCCTCCTCCTCCTCCTCCTCCTCCCTTGAAATTTTTTTTAAAAAGATTTTTTTAAATATTAAGAGGATTATTTTTTATTTTAGGAGGATTTTTTTATATTTTAGGAGGATTTTTTTATATTTTAGGAGGATTTTTTCATTCTAGGAGGATTTTTCTTATTAGACGATAGTCTTGTATTGAGTTTATTTGAGAAACAAATGATTTTTTGAAAATAGAATTGAAATGAATATAGGAATGATTTTTTGTTTTTTAAAGGGAGATTTGTTGCTATCAAAAGGGGGATTTGTCGTGTTGTTGTTTGTTGTTTTAAACTAAAATGTTGTTTTTTGTTTTGATGTTGTCTTGTATTGCCTAAGTCTTGTGTTGTCTAAGTCAGGTGTTAGTCTTGTGTTGTTTAAGTCTCGTGTTAGTCTGCTGTTGTCTAAGTCTTGGTCTGTCTAAGTCTTGGTCTGTCTAAGTCTTGGTCTGTCTATGTCTTGTGTTGTCTAAGTCAGGTGTTAGTGTCGTGTGTCTAAGTCTCTTGTTAGTCTTGTATTGCCTAAGTCTTGGTCCGTCTAAGTCTCGTGTTAGTATTGTGTTGTTCAAGTCTCGTGTTAATCTCGTGTGGCCTAAGTCTTGGTCTGTCTATGTCTTGTGTTGTCTAAGTCAGGTGTTAGTCTCGTGTGGCCTAAGTCTTGGTCTGTCTAAGTATTGTGTTGTCTAAGTCTCTTGTTAGTCTTGTATTGCCTAAGTCTCATGTTAGTCTGCTGTTGCCTAAGTCTTTGTCTGTCTAAGTCTTGTGTTGTCTAAGTCACGCGTTAGTCTTGTATGGCCTAAGTCTTTGTCTGTCTAAGTCTTGTGTTATGTATACGAGAGGGAGACACAAAAAAACAATGTACTTTGCGTGTTGAGTACGAGAGGGAGACACAAAAAAACAATGTACTTTGCGTGTTGAGTCAAAACAATTTATTGATAATAGCAATAAAATATATAATTGGGCTCAGTGAACAACTCTTCATAAGAACCTGATATAATCTAAGTATAATATGACGTGTCCCTATCTTAGTGAGATATTATATGAGATATCCAACTTTACGCAAATTACATGTGCCTGAAATGCTGTTCGTGGTTCTTGTTCCTGCTCTGGATGTATTGGTCTGGCTGGTCTGGATATAGTGGTCTGGAAAAATCGCTTAGTGGTCTTGAAGTAGTGGTGTTTCGCTTTTGCTGCTCCTTTTTCTTTGCAAAACGGCAGTGGTCTGGAAAATCACTTAGTAGTCTTGAAGTAGTGGTGTTTCGCTTTTGCTGCTCCTTTTTCTTTGCAAAACGGCAGTGGTCTGGAAAATCGCTTAGTGGTCTGGATGTAGTGGTGTTTCGCTTTTGCTGCTCCTTTTTCTTTGCAAAACGGCAGTGGAACCAAAGTGTCTTTCTGCTTCTTCAAATTTCTGCTCTTTTTTTCAAATCTAAAAAAATAAAAGGACCCCCTCAGTTCCATGTCAATCTTGTTGTCATCATCACAACCTGAAAAATACTAAAAGAAAGAAAGAAACAATCAACAACAAGCAAAAAATGAAAGAAAGAGAGAAACAATCAACAACAAGCAAAAAATGAAAAGAAAGAAAAAAGCGTGGCTGCGCAGCGACCGCTGACCTTTTGGGCTAGCAGCCGCTGCACAAAATTTGGCCCCGCCCTCCCCCCGTCGCACGTGGGCCGCCACTCACAGCCACAGCTGCCGTCTCGCCTCCGAGCTCCCCGGCCCTGGCCCCGCCCCATCCCCCCTGCGGACCGGGGGATGGGGTGGGGCCAGGACCGGGGAGCTGGGAGGCTAGGCTCGCACTTGCGGCCGACTGTTGTAGTTGCACACGATTGAAGAGGAAACTGTTTTACTCCGGTTGAATCACGCCGTGTGATCCAAGCCGGGAAAACAGTTTCCTACTAACCCGAACCAACCAGTTCAGGTTAGTGGGGTTTCCCTAAATGGCGCCGCGACGCATACTTACCTGCCCCCCTCTGAAAAAAAGCAGGAAATCCAGTTTAGAAAGGAAGAAAAAAAGGCATACTTACGCACCTTAAAGCCTTCTCTGGGCATGTTTTTGAAACTGGCTAGCGATTTGGAAGGTTTCCGTCGGGTTAACGATTCTTTGCTTTTCTACATGTGGACCACGGTTCATGATGATGAATTTCTGAAAGTGGAAAGTGATGTGGATGAGACTTTGGTACGCATAAATGCAGCATTTCAAAGTTTGAAGCGGACAACACGCAAAGTGACCATTATCAATCTATTTAGTTTTTATATTATATTTATATATACATTACTTTTTATTTAGAATTTTGAACTGCATTTAAAACCTTGCGAAATTCCGCTCACGAAGATCAGCCCAAGTCAAAGAGACAAATAAAGAGATAACGAGAGACATACAAAGAGAAAAAAAATTTATATTCAACAATCAAATAATTTTCTAACCTAGTTTCTAAATGACTTTAGCCTTTTGGCTGTTAAGTCTTAAGTGAAATTATGCAGAGAACATTTGGCATCATCTTCGTTTGATTGACTGGGTTGCTTCTTCGTCGCATTTGCTCTTCTTTTCGCCAACATCTAAATTAAAAAGAAAACAGAAATTCAGCATTCGAAAATAGCAGAGTAACATTTTCAGTAATCAAGAATTATAAAAAATTAACAGCTATTTCTCAAGGTTAAAAAATTTCGCATGTGCTGAACTCAATAAAAAAATAAATGTGATTCTGAAATGTGATTCTGAAATGTGGTTAAATGGTCCATAAAAATAGGCAAATTTAAAGAATTTAGATAAGATTTGACGTAGAATGTTGACTCTTCAGCGCAATTTTTTCCAAGTTTATCTGCAATTAAACGATTTTAAAAACAGAAGATTTTGGAATAGAGAGTAAAGTCTTGCAATCTGATCTTAAGAAACTTTTTAATACTTAAATTTTGGAAAGGTCGGAAAAGGATAAACAACTTCACACTTTGCCTACTTCTCACTTCCTAAACGACGTGGTATGAAAAAATATTTTTGCGTAATAGTTTTTTTTTAAACTTTAAACGTTTACAAAAATTACAGTCAAATTGTGCTCAGAATGTCGAAACATAAATTAACTAATTCATCATAACTTAGATATTCATAACTTGTTAAAGTTTGAGTGCCCCAAAAAGCTGAATTCAATAAAAAGTCAACTCAAATTAAGTTTTTGATAAAAATCTATAATGAAAAAGTCTTAGAAAAGAAGGACTGTTTGCTTATAATGCCAAAGATTTCTTCGTGAATCCATTTTTAGAACCCACTTCAAATGCCACAAAAATTATGTAAATTTTGGAATTATTACTCTTTATTAGTAAGAAAATGGGTAGTCCATTCTGATTCGTTTTTGGTGAAAAATGAACCTTTTAAAAAGTTTGCGAAAAAAACTCATTCATATTAAAACTTGATGAGAAAAGAAAAAGATTCCCTTAACACTGAAAAAAATTTTGTCAATAACGATCAAAGCCAATCAGATTCCATTGCATAAAGTTTAAAGCTGTGATCAATTCAAACTGACGATTTTGTGTTTATATTCATTGTATGCAATTAATCCAAAGCTGAATCTTTTTATCATTAATCACCTTCGTAATTTTTTCATATCCATTTTTGAACTTTCACTAACCTCGACATTTTGTAACAGTTGATTAGAAATAATGTTATAAATGATAATGCTATCAAAATGAATATTTCGTTTTGTGATATCCAGTTATCAGGTCTCGAAATATCACATGGTATTCATAATTAGAACATGATAAAAGAATATACAGCCTCCTCCAAAAATAATTCGAACAGTCAAGCAAAATTATTGGCCTAACATCCATTTTTGCCAAGAAATTGAAAAATCGTTATTAAATTTTGGCGGGAAGATAAAACGAAAGCGTCATCTATTTACCAAAACAATCAAAAAAGCATATTTTAAATTCTGTTTTATGAGAAATCGTATTCAAAAGAAGAAAAATTTTGTTTTATTCTTAAAAGTTGAACAGAAAATAATTGAGAACTGACCCATCGAGAAAACATTTTTTGTGGCTAGATTAGCAAAATATTTTTCAGCAAAAAGCGAAACTAGAAAAAAGCAATCAGGGAATGACCTATAACTTATCAGTTAAGTGTAGATCTGGTTTCAAAAAGTTTTTTCGACCAATCTAATGTTAATGGAAGAATTTCAATAAGGTTCTAGGGTAGCATTAGGCCTAATGAAGTCGTTATATTGTTCTTTGGATATTTTTCTCAAAGACCTGAATGTAATTGAAATACTGTTGATTTTTTTGCTTTCTATGGAAAATGAAACGAATCCGGTTCCTCGAAAACGCAGCAACAGTTAATTTAAAAAACATTTGATATCTGGAAAGGTGTTCCTCGCTATTTCATCGAAAAATTGTATTGCTCAATTCCTTGCTGACTCTGTGCTGTTAAGTTGTTTTGCGGGTACCATGAAATGATGAATGGACTTTAATTTTAAACATGTTGCGCACATGATGAGCTGTTTTATGATTGCCTGAAATTCTGACCTGATTTCTATTGTCATTCTTTAAATATTATTTAATTACTTTTCCTTTGTTTTATTTACTTCACCCTGTACTGAAACAACATTGGCTTCTGTTCGGATACTTTTGGGAGAAAAGTGTATATCTAAAAAGATAATATGAATATGTTTACCTTTGTATGTTTAGCTGGTGACTTTCACAAACAGCAGCTAATTGTTTCTGGACAGCCAGCATTTGCCCTGCAAATAAAGTGAATATCCATCAACAAAAAGTAGAGGCATAATGAAACATAAACAATAAAATCAAAGAAACATGAAGAATTACAAAAGTTAGGGCAGTATTTAGGGACAATATTAAACAATCAGCAGTAAATTGTGTAGGCCATCAATCAGCTATTTAAGTTCATTTGAAGATCATCTTCTGGTGCATTAGTCAACTTTATACAAATCTTAAGACTCAGAAAAATAAAATTTAAATTAATATCTTATTCAGTGTAATGAAATGATATTAAGCTGATGATTACAAACAAAATGATATAGCTCATAGTATTGTATTAACATAAGAATAGATATTAATAGAGATTAACATAAGTAATAGAATACAAAAGTATATGTCCCTAAAAATCCCTAAGTCCCCAATATAAAAAGTCTCTTTAACGCTTACATAAATCTCAGACAAATTGTGCTCAGAGTGTCGAAACATACATTGAAAAACCAAAAACCTGAATTCAATAAAAAGTCAACCCAAATGCAAGGATCCAAAAACTTCGTAAATCCAATTATTACTCTTTATTAGTAAGAAAATGGGTAGTCCATTCTGATTCGTTTTTGGTGAAAAATGAACCTCTTTAAAAAAAAGAAAAGTTTGCGGAAAAACTTATTCATATTATAACTTGATGAGAAAAGAGAAAGATTTCCTTAACATTGAAAAAAAATTTGTCAATAACGATCAAAGCCAATCAGATTCCATTGCATAAAGTTTAAAGCTGTGATCAATTCGAACTGACGATTTTGTGTTTATATTCATTGTATGCAATTAATCCAAAGCTGAATCTTTTTATCATTAATCACCTTCGTAATTTTTTCATATCCATTTTTGAACTTTCACTAACCTCGACATTTTGTAACAGTTGATTAGAAATAATGTTATAAATGATAATGCTATCAAAATGAATATTTCGTTTTGTGATATCCAGTTATCAGGTCTCGACATATCACATGGCATTTATAATTAGAACATGATAAATAAATATTCATTCTCCTCCAAAAATAATTTGAACCGTCGAGCAAAATTATTGGCCTAAAATTCATTTTTGCCAAGAAAATGAAAAATCGTTATTAAATTTTGGCTTGAAGATAAAACGAAAGCGTCATCTATTTACCAAAACAATCAAAAAGCATATTTAAATTTTGTTTTAAGAGAAATCATATTCAAAAGTAGAAAGAGTTTGTTTTATTCTTAAAAGTTGAACAGAAAATAATTGAGAACTGACCCGTCGAGAAAACATTTTTTGTGGCTAGATTAGCAAAATATTTTTCAGCAAAAAGCGAAATTAGAAAAAAGCAATCAAGGAATGACCTTTAACTTATTTCAGTAAGGTTGTAGGGTGGCATTAGGCTTAATGAAGTTGTTACATTGTTTTTTGGGGGTTTTTCTCAAAGATCTGAATGTAATTGAAAATATTATTGATTTTTTTGCTTTCTATGGAAAATGAAACGAATCCCGTTCCTCGAAAACGCAGCAACAGTTAATTTAAAAAAAACATTTGATATCTGGAAAGGTGTTCCTCGCTATTTCATCGAAAAATTGTATTGCTCAATTCCTTGCTGACTCTGTGCTGTTAATTTGTTTTGCGGGTACAATGAAATGATGGATGGACTTTAATTTTAAACATATTGCGCACATGATGACCTGTTTCATGATTGGCTGAAATTCTGACCTGATTTCTATTGTCATTCTTTAAATATTATTTAATTACTTTTCCTTCGTTTTATTTACTTCACCCTGTACTGACACAGCATTGGCTTCTGTTCGGATACTTTTGGGAGAAAAGTGTATATCTAAAAAGATAATATGAATATGTTTACCTTTGTATGTTTAGCTGGTGACTTTCACAAACAGCAGCTAATTGTTTCTGGACAGCCAGCATTTGCCCTGCAAATAAAGTGAATATCCATCAACAAAAAGTAGAGGCATAATGAAACATAAACAATAAAATCAAAGAAACATGAAGAATTACAAAAGTTAGGGCAGTATTTAGGGACAATATTAAACAATCAGCAGTAAATTGTGTAGGCCATCAATCAGCTATTTAAGTTCATTTGAAGATCATCTTCTGGTGCATTAGTCAACTTTATACAAATCTTAAGACTCAGAAAAATGAAACTTGAATTAATATCTTATTCAGTGTAATGAAATGATATTAAGCTGATGATTACAAACAAAATAATATAGGTCATAGTGTTGTATTAACATAAGAATAGATATTAATAGAGATTAACATAAGTAATAGAATACAAAAGTATATGTCACTAAAGATCCCTAAGTCTTAGTACCCAATAGAAAAGTCTCTTAATATGCAGGCAACACATATATATGTTAAAAAAGATAAATAAATACTTTTACCTTTCAATATTATTGGGGTGGATTTCACAACCAGCAGATTTTTGTTCCCAGATGACCAGCAGTTTACCTTGTGAAAAAAGTGAACATCCATCAACAGAAAGAAAGGCAGGATGAAACAAACAATAAATGGAAGCAACATGAATTATTAGGAAAATTAAGGCAGTGAATGGGGAAAAAACAACCCAGGGATAATTTGTAGGTTGTCATTTAAATATTTAAGCACATTTGCATAGAGACATTTTATGTTACATAGATGATGATCCGAATAAATTTGAGAAATTATCTTCCAATCCATCATTAATCAATAATCATTTCACAAAATATCTTTCAGAACAGTGAAACTTTAAATAATAATCTTATTTAATGTAACAACTAGTTACTTATCAACAAAACAATATTGGTCATAATAATCCATCATTTAAAACCATTTATTGATCCATATAAGACTGATTATTGTTTCCAGCATCAATCAGTTGTCTAATATTTCACAGTGTGCCTGAGAACTTTTGACAATAAATTGGCAATGTTTCATTTTTTGAGTAGATAATAATTGTTGGAATTTGGTTAGCAAATATAGCTAATAAATATTTAATGTAATATATATATATTTCTATATTCAAAAATATAAAGAAAACATTTCTACCTTTGCATGTCTTGCAGGTGAACTTCACAGACAGTAGATAATTGCTCAGGGACATCCAGCTCTTGTCAACAAAATGAAGAGTTATTAAAAAACCAAAAAGACAAAAAAATAAATCTAGATAAAAACAAGAAAAGACAAGATAATCATTTTAACTTGTCTGCATAAAGACATTTTAGCGTAATAAAGATAGCTAAGTATCTGGAAGGTGCCAGACTTAACTGAAAATTGAGTTCATCAAGTTTCTTGAATCTGTCCATTAAGTTTGAGTAAATATAATAGTAACAACTTGCTATCCATAACTATTTGTAGCTCAAACATTACAATTTTGAAAATCATTTGTAAAATGTCAAGATGAGAATTGGCACAATATTACAAAAATATTGTCTTGATAAGACATCTGAAGTAAGTAAAATTCTAAATAATTTTTACAAACCTCAATGGAACCTAATTCATTCAATTCCAATACATCTTAAATGCTAGCCCTCAAATTCAAAAAAAGATAAGATGTTAGTATATTTGCAAAACTGTAAAGCTATCAAACATGGAGAAATTTAGAACTGACGGGGTGGCCTTAAAAGGAAACAGACAACAGCACAATTCCTTGTTGACTCTGTGTTGCCTATTTGTATCATGGAACATTGACAGTTGAGTTATAATGAAATCATGGAGGGACTTGAATTTAGAAATTCAGCAAATTATGCTCTGTTTTATGATAGGCTGAAATTCTGACCTGTTTCCTAACTTCATTCTTTAATTATAATGTATCACTTTTTTTTTTGCTTTAATTCTTTGACCCAGTACTGACACAACATTGGCTTCTGTTCAGATACTTTTTGAAGATAAGCGTATATATAAAAAGATAAAATAAATATCTGTACCTTTTTATGTTTTGCTGGTGACTTTCACAAACAACAGTTGATTGTTTGAGGACAAGCAGCATGTTATTCTGTAAATAAAGTAAACATTCATCAACAAAAAAGGAAAGGCCGGATGTAACATAAATAATAACATCAGAAATAACTTGGAGTTTAATGAAAATTAGGAAAATTAGGGCAGTGGTTACGAACAAATGAGAAACAATTTAAAGGTTATAATTATAATGGCAGAAAAATTTTAGAAATTGTCTTTAATGCATTAACTGAATATCACTTTGTGCAAGTCTTTCCTTAAGGAATTGGAACATTAAAACTTAAATTCATTATTATTTAGTGCAACATGAGGAATATTAAACAGGCTCTTGTAAAAAAATATATAGGTGACAATAGTATAATGACAAGATAAAAGTTACACAATGTTAGAAAATATATCATTAAAATTCCTGGAGTGAAAGTACCTAGTAGCAAAGGTTTTTTACATGCAGGCAACTTTTTTTCCTTTTAAAATGATTATCATTTCAAATATTAATCAGTTATAAAACATTTCACTGTGTGGCTGAACATTTTGGAGATAAATTGGCAAAGTTTCATTTTTTGATGAGCAGATTTATATCTAAAATGTTCAAAAATAAAAAAATTAAACATTTCTACCTTTGCCCTTCTTGCGGGGGTATTTCACAAACAGTAGATTGTTTCTTGACAGCAAGCAGTTTACCCTGTCATAAAAATGTAGAGTTATTAACAAAAACCAAAAAAGACAAAGATTTAAATCTGGATAAAGATCAAATAATCATTTTAGCTTGTCTTCATAAATACATTTTAATGTAATACAGATGAGATGACTATGGAAATATAATTGAAGTAAAACTAATCTTCAAGTAATTTAACAAAAAGAGAGCATTTATCTTGAAGTTGCCAGACTTACACTGCAAATTGAGTTTATTACATTTCTTAAATCTGCCAAGTAAGTCTCAAGATGAGAATTTGCACTATATTCCCAAACTCTTGTCTTGAAAAGACAAGGAACAATATCTTAAAAATTTAAATCTAGGTCCACATTTTAGACATAGCAATTGTCAACAAACCTTGAAGGCACCTTGTTCATTAAATTCCAAGACATCTTAATTTCTGGCCTTCGAATTCAAAAAAATATAAGATATTAGTACATTTGCCAAACTGTAAAGCTTTCAAACATGGATAAATTTAAAACTGAAGGGGTGGTCTTAAAAGGAAGCAGACAACAGCAAATAGATTGTTCTTGTATGATCTATGATTATTTCAGCTTTCTTTCTTCCTAAGAGAAAAGTATGGTATGCTACCATATCTAGCAATTTTACCTCTGATATAGAAAAAGCACTCCAATCTTTTAGAAAAAACAAAGCTCTCATTTTAAAGGTGCATCACACAAAAATAAATAGCTGACTTACAACTGAAAATATATCCTTATTTTATGTTAATTAAAGACCTTTAGCAAGGAACATTAAATTTTATCAAAATTGAGTTTGACAACTTGAAAAAATAATTGTCTCAACAACAAGTATTCAGTAAAAATACCAAGTAATATTTACAAACCTTAGTAACATCTTGCTCAAAACTTGACATAATGATCTTGAAACAAAAAAGAAAAGAAAGAAAGTTTTTTCCAGACTCAAAAATCTACAGAAACCTGGCACAAAAATTGTGCATTTCTAATTATATTCTTACCAAGATGTTTTCACCAGGATAAAAATTTGCAGTGCAGCATAAAAAATAAACATAACCTTGTTCTAATTCAATTAAAGATCTTTCAAAATCAACATCAAATTCCAGCATAGCAGTGTTTCTGGCTTGAAGAATGATTGTTTCAAGAATGGATAATTTTTATATTATATATAGGTAGACACATAGAAAAGAGTGTTTGAAATTAAAACTCAGTGAGATATTTCATCAAATATTGGACATACAAAAGGGTTAATACAAACCTTGCTGATCTCTAGCTCACAAGAATTTACCACACTTGACATGTTGAACTTGAAAAAAAGGAATGAAAAAGTTATTTTCCAGCACAAAATATTTCAGAACCCTGATACAAAAATGCTAATTTCTCATTATGTGCATCACCAGAATAAAAAGTTATAATGAAATGTTGGAAATAAATACCCAAATGAAATAGTAATATAAGGTTTTAAAAATATAATCCTGGCTCAGTGGAGTTTTGAACTTGGAGAATGATTGTCTCGACAACAACATTAATATAGAAAAATTAGTTAAAAATGCTAGACAAAAGAACAGAGTTTACAAACCTTGCAGATTTGTTGCCAATGGTAACATTGAGTGCCTTAAAATTAAAATGAAATTAAAATTATTTAAATTTTGGCCAAAACAGCAAATATATCAAACAAAGATATAAGAGATTCATTTCAGATTTATTTAGAGCTTGAAATATATTATAAATTAATCTCTTAATATCTATAGATAAATGTGATTATCTCAGCTTGCTTAAAAATCTTAAACATTTTGTTTTCCTGTTTGTATGTTTTGTTTTGTATGTCAATGACAACAAATGAAAGGGCAAATAGAGTTTTCTTCTAACATTTGATTTTGATTGACAGAAATCAAGTATAAAATTGAGTGTAAAATGAAGTATTATTATGAAGTATGAAGTATAAAATAATGACAAAATGGATTAAAAATTGAGAATAGATCTCACTAAAACTGACTCCAAACGAATTGCTTCAAATAAAGCTTGTAGAATGCAAAGTAACTAAAAACACTAAAACATTTGTCTTTATTTGCAACTAAAGTTTTCAATAGCAAGAGCATAAATTATTTTGAAAAATCTAAAAATCTTTAAAATGGATGTCTAATTTAAAATTCTAAAAATTATGAAATAAAACATACCAGTTAGCTTTTCTTTAACCTTTAACTGACACCGAAGAGTCATCTGGGAAAATTTAAACGAGAAATAATCAAGTTTTGAGAAGGCAGGAATCTGGAAAAATGGAAACAACACTAAAAGAATTGGATTGAGCTACAAAATTAAAATAATGAAAATTTTGTTGTGCCATTTTCAACTTTATAAATATATTAGAGCTTACATAATATAAATACAAAATTCTATACATAGCTTGAATGAAATTTAAAGCAAAATGACAGTGAATGTTTGAAATTAAATGTTTTATCAAGTATGCCAATAGAGTATTTTTGCAAAAAAGAACTTGCTTTTTTGGCTATGAGCTTAAGCATTCATTAAAAAACATGTCTTTGACAGAAATTCATCTAAAAACAATAAACTGGAGACAGAAATTCATCTAAAAACACATCTGAATACAAAACTAAAAATCACCAAAAAACAATTGACCTGATATGTTATTAAGCTGCAAAAGCCCTTTCTGGCAGCTTATAAATATATTAAGCAATTTCAGCTTTATTAACATATATTAAAGACAAGGATTTTATTTTCACAATTTGTAAGTCACAATTAAGTTTCCTCACATAAAATAAACATTCCATTTCTTAGCTCTTTATGATATCAGTGCAGTTTAATTTGTAGTCATCTAACGTAACAAATTAAAGCAAAGTGCTCAAATTTATTGGGCCTATATAAAAAATGTCATCTGGTCTTATTTTTGTATAAAGGACAGACGAAAACCATATTTAATTTCCAAAAAAGTATTGATGATCTTTGAACACAAAAAAGGTCAAATTGAAAGTAAATTTGATGTCAGGCTGTCTATTAACACAAACACCTTCTTGTGGTGTGGCCTCCGTCTGGAAGGTTTATGAAAGAAATTTGAAACACAGCAAAATGACATTACTTCTCTCTAAGAACAGTTCAAAATAGTTCAGTTAACATTTATTCTCTTTTAAAGAAGAAACAAACAAAATATTCATACCTGTTCCCCGCCAAGAGCTATGATTGGCGTCGGTTCAACGAATCACTTTTAACTTGTCGTTTGTCTGTGTTCACTCCATTATCCTTAAAATGAGGCAAAAAGCATTTTTATCAATGCGAACACCTCCGTACATTTGCTTTTGGTGTACACTTGAATAACGAAGAAAACGGACGAGGAAAAGGAACGAAGAATCCGATACGATAGATTAGCTTTAAAAATCGAAAGCATATAGCAACAATAAGGAAGCAGAATCACAGTTTTGTATTGGGTTAGTTTCGCCTGCTTCATTTCTATTAACATGACAACCTAATAATTGCGAATGGCATTATCAATTGACATTAGTAGACTCTTAAATCTTGTACTTGACAAAAAGGTCTTACCTAGGTTTACATGCCGTTGTAGGCCAAGATGAAGACACGAGTGTCCCTTATCTTCGACTCTTTTGTGCCAACTAATTGAATAGCAAAGAAACCAGGTATTTATAAGCATATGCAAATTTAGACTAGATTCCCAGCAGATTGTGAAACAAAGGTATCCTGTGCAGCCATTTCCACGAGCCATTTCCACGAGCCATTCCCGCCAAAATTCATTCAAATTACCCGCCAATGATGATCTCCTTCACACCACAGGGAATTTCAATAGGCGGAGGACGGGGGTGTGCCATTTTATAATATGAAAACATACCTTAAATTTCATAAATTTTTAAAAACCTACCCACAAATTTCGATACAATATGAAATATACACCTTTAAATTTAATTCAAATTTGCAAAAATCCAACAACTCAATCAAGTAAATAAAACCCCCTTTATTTTAAAAATGATATCCCAAAATTTAAGAATATGCTAAAAATAAATCCCAAAATTTATGACCAAAATCTATGACCAGTGCCTTTAATGCGACCTTCAGTTTTTCTATATATTTAGGTGACGTGGGGTCTTAATATTTCTCGACTCTTCAGGATTTGTTTGTAGGATCCTGTGAAAGATTGTACAATAATTCAACATATATTTCTAATGGCCTAAGGACGTTGCATGATGATATTTTGCTTGTTTAAACCCCCTAATCTTTAATAATTGTGAACGCCCTGTTTTATCAGTGTTTTGAAAAGAAATCGATTGGGAGTCCATCTTTTTGTTTTTGCCCGCAACTCGCGCGCGATAGCGCGCGAGTGAAGGGCTTATAGTCTGCCCCGCGTATAAGTAGCATATGGAAGCTTCAGTTCATGTTGTCAGCACTTTTTCAGCAGATTTTGTCACTTTTCTGCTGCCATGACAACTGTCAATCAACTTCATTGTCAATCAATCGGCTTTGTCGAGGAGATCGTTAACCGCCACCTCTTTGCAGTGGCGAAGCCAAAGGTCCTGCTGGTCCTGCTGAGCAGGACCAAGAATTTCCAAAGATAAGATTTACTGTAAACAATAAGTTTCAAATTCTTTTTGATAAACAGTCCCCAGTTCCGCCAGCTGATACAGGCATCCCGTGCTAATCTCAAGGTCCTGTTCTCTTCTACGGCAGCCCTGTATTTTGGTCCTGCTCATAACTATGATACCCTATGTTTGGTCCTGCTTCACAATGGGCTTTTGTGAATTTAGTCCTGCTTCACAATAGTCTAGAACAAAGAGCAGTCCTGCTCAATCTCGGGAGCAGGACCTCGTCGAAATTACCATCATAACATTTCGTAAGCAGTTGTGATTTGATTGGTCGAGGGTTCACCTACGTAGGTCAAAGAGCATTGTTTTGAAAACCTTTGGTCCTGCTATTTCTGAGAGCAGGACTGCAAGAATTGCCCTGTGCATTCTCGTTCTGCTATGAGACTCTAGCAAGGAGGCCAGTTCAAGTATTATGGCGAGGCGATGTGAATGCGGATTTTCTGCTTGCTTTGGCAATACCAATGATATTATTATTGACAGCAAAACTTGCCTCAGTTGAGCTGCATAAATTTTATTTGTAACAAGACAGAGTCCAAAGTTCGCAAGAAAGAAATGTAAACAACAAGAATTGGCTGTATGAGGCACTCTGATTTCGGCCTTTGAACGATCGTTTGAGGCACGGCATATCATGGTGGCCTAAATAAAATTTTCTTAGACTTGGACAAGGACGATGAAAGCATAATTGAATTTACTGTTGTGTGATTGAAAGTTTTGAGTTGGAGAATAAACCAATTTCAGCGGAATTTGCATTTTTCTACCTGAATTGTTTTCTCGTCTAATGGTTTATCTAATAAAATTATTTTCATTGATAATGCGACACATTATTCGATTGTGCCTCTCTTTATCAGCTGCAGAATAATTGTTCTGCAGAATATGTGAACTTGCCCCTACAGACTTTAAACTCTGTTTTTATTAAAATTATTTTAATAGAGTATCTAGATTGGTCAGGTTTATAAGACCAAAAACTGGAATACCACAAATATATGATATGCAACTTCAAATGCCACCCCTACCCCCCTTTTATTGTCAAATTTAGTTATCACCAATTTGAACTTTTACTTCAGCTGTAGAGGCTTACTACAATTTAACATAGATTTGTTTGAAAAGTAAGCACCCTAAAGCACGTCTTTAAGTATGGGTTTATTTTTCAAAAGATAGACATCGATTTAAAATTTGCTTTTTACTGAATTTAAAAAAAGATTCATCTTCAAAATAGAATTTTTGTCCATGGGCTTTTCCTATTGAATAAGGGCGTGGCCCTGTCCATATAGCAGGACCAACAATTTTTGGCTAGCTTCGCCACTGCCTCTTTGTGCGGAAGGGAATTATCTTCGGAGCGTTGCTCTGCCAAGACTCTGTTAAAGGCCTTCGGTTTTTTGGCACGAAAACGGTGCTGCATCACAGCTCTGTTCTCCGCAATGGATGGAAGTTTTGATTCGAAGTTTTGGGAAACAAACCAGTCGAATGCCACACTTTTCTCCCAAAAACTCGAGACCGTACGAGCAAAAGTTATGATTGTTGGCACGAAAACGGTGCTGCATCACAGCTCTGTTCTCCGCAATGGATGGAAGTTTTGATTCGAAGTTTTGGGAATCAAAACCAGTCGAATGCCACACTTTTCTCCCAAAAACTCGAGACCGTACGAGCAAAAGTTATGATTGTCGTGATTATCGAAAAATAAATGTCAAACCCTCGAAAAACTTCATGATTTTCAAAAGGGCGTTGGACTTAAATCAAAGACAAACTGAACACCAAAAATTCTTGATAAAAAGAATAGTTTAGCATCAACTAGAGCAGCTGTTTTTATAGAATTGTGAAAACCCAAGATGGTGTCTTCTTCGAATATCCTGACCTACATTTTCAAAACAATCATTATCAAGGAACTAATTGTTTGCGGGCAGTACTAGCAAGAGCTATTTCTAGTTATATCTGTACTGAAAAGAAGTAAGAATCACTTCACGTTTTGTACCCTTTGATCCAAGCTTCGCCTAACAATCGAGGTACACCTCGTGGGACTTCTTTGAATGTCCAATTTCGCAATCCACATTTTTCAACTCTGGACCCTCTTTGGTGTTTTGGTTACTGCTTGTGTTTTCAAAGATCTTCACATTTTACAAAATCCGTCCACAAAAATATTGTTGGTTTCTAGTCTCTCTTTTTTGAAAGACAAAATGCAAATCGACACAGATTGGAGTTCGAAAGAAACAAAGGATCGAGGTTAATCCCTTAAAATTTTGCCTCTTTTTTATAACAGCTATCACGATAATAAATTGATAATTGTTCATACAATGATAACACCAATAGGTTGATAAAACTGGTACCAACAATGATGTTCCTACACTTTAAGTCAAATTATTCCACAATTTTCACATTAAACGCAAGAAAATTACTGAAATAAAAAACAGCTTCTTTTTTAATCATATCAAATGTATGCCATCGACAAAAAAGCTGGCGAGTTTTCCCAAAGCAACATCACCTGCCAAAGCAACAAAACAACAATAAAAGATACAATTTTTCATATTTTATGAAAGGAATTAAAAATGTAAACAGACAATATTTTCTTGAAATTCATATAATATCATATCAAGATAAAAATTTATTGCACAAAATTTTTCAGATTACTTTTAAAAAATCTTATGATAAACCATTGCCAAAGGTATCAAAAACATTTGATTCTTGCAAGCAGGAAGTTTCAAAATTTTTCATTATGAACATTTACTAGTCTATATGAAGTAAATGAGCGTTCTATATCTTATGCAATTCATCATTTCGCTAATTGAATGCAAAAAAAATTCGACAAATTTTGAAAAGTGAAAAAGTTTAAAAAAGTCTTAAAGAAATATACGATATAGACACTTTTAATTGTTTTTGGTCGTTGGCTCACCCTCTTACTGTTCATTTTTATGTTTATTAAATTTTATAAAGTTGCTTTAATCATTCTTGCAGATTTGGCTGCATTTGTATTTTGTTAGATTGCAGAGACCATATACCTCTGGCATAGTTAGTGTTGATTGAAATACGATAAACAAGTCTTAGCAAAACAAATTTTTTTATGGCAAGGGATAATTTTTGCTAACAAAGAGATTCAAAATTGGACTGTCCAAAAGTAAACTTGCAAAAGTTTATTCTTAAATATTTCAATTATCTTTGTTTTAGATTATTTGACTAAGATCAGCTTTTTGTCTACTGGAGGTGGGGCAAAAACTTGCATAGGGCAACAAAGCACATCAAAATTCAAAATGTAAAATCAGCCTTGCTGATTTCGAGGTTGTTGAGCTGTTGAGTAAGAAAATGTAAGCAAAAGATTGCAGATAATTGTGACATGTAAGTAAGAAGATGATCGATCAAAAGCTTTGCAGCAAAAAGCTTCTGGAATAATTGCCAAATCGTCAAATATTCAAAAACCTGTTGCTACTGCTAATTCTCCTTAAACAGTAAGTCTACAGTCTTGGAAAAATGATCAAACGAAACATTTTACAACATACTAAAAGGCTTTTCACCTGAGATTCTCCAGACTATAAAACTTCAGAATAAGGGTCTGAAAGAACAAGATGGAAAATAGGAAAGTTCTTTTGAACCCTTATTCTGACGGACCCTTGTTCTCATTTTGGCTTTCGGACCATTATTCTGACATTTTTTACTCTGAGAAATGTCAGAAGAAAAAGCTTTTAGTATCTTGTAGTATTTTTGCTTTTTTGAAAGCCATTTCAAGTTTTGTACCTCCAAAAAATTGTTCATATATTGATCTCAATGCTTCAACATAGGAAATTTTGCTTTGGCATCCCAAAAACCTTTTTGCTTCTAAACTGCAATATCATTTTTGGATGGTCGTTCCTTACTAAAGATTCTCTAGAGACAGGATGGTAATGATGTCATTAATTCACTTTTAGGGGTTTTCTATTTGAAGTCCAAGCATTAAAATATCACCTGAGGTGATTCTGTTGATAATCGGCAGAAATATTGTCATCGGGATATTGTACAATGTTTACTGTGATCTTGCCTGGTCCAATAAATTTAATATGGGAAGTTTTTTATAATATCATATGTTATTTACTACCATCCGGCAAAAATATGGAAGTTGAGTATTAATTTCACTTTATAAATCTCAATTGAAAAATGAGAATCAATTAAGTATTCTGCTGCTCATATTGGAAACATGGAGGAGAACATCACGAAAAGTGATGCACACAGACCTTGGTAGAAATGGGAACAGTCGTCTTACTTTGTTTGATATGATTAGAAATATGCTCACAGATCTTATTCTCGTTTTTGTTGCAATAATGTCTTTTAAACCAGGATGTTATCAGAGTGTAACGTTGGCCCTAGCTGGGTTTCGGTGCCATGTCAGTATGTATTAATTCATAACTTTGATTTGCTGTCCTGTAACTATGTTGTCTAGCTGTGTCTGCACAGTTTGTGTTTGCTATGTTGATTGATGTAAACCAGAATTACATGTGATATCCAACTTTTATGTAAATTGTATTCAGTTGGTAATTGAGCTTGATACACATCTGAGTTACATGAAAACTTGCAGTATTTCTTGGCCCAAGTCTTCGGAACCCGAACACGCCACAAGAGTAATACAGACAAGAACATGATAATTTCAATGTTGCCTGTATCCTCACTAACTATTTAAACTGAATCAACTTGGTCGTGAATTTAGATTTCTGTTGCACTACATATTGTTATTCTTATATACAAATTTGTGGCCTTGCTCCAACCCACTTCAATGATTACATTTAGTATCAACAACCCACTAGGCTTGTCTCATTTACCTACACGAGGATTTGTGCCAGCAGAATGAACTCCCACAAATTGAAATACAATGGTAGAAAAAGCACAAAGCCAATGTGCAATATAAATGATTGCATGGAGAATTCAGAAAATTTTGTTTGCTTTGCACATCTCAAGTACCACGACAAAATATTCCTGCCAAAGGTTTTGCTTTATTACGTCCTGAACAAATCACTAATTCAGATGTATGATGCAATACACTACATGTCACCCAACCACTTTTTCTTTGCTCTGTTTGTTTTTTGTAGTACTCACTTGTATTTTTGTCTGTTTATCGTAGTAAATACCAAGATCTGCCTGACATTGGCTATCAAGTGAGTGTTACGAAAACAAGCAACAGAAAGATTTTCTCATTGTCATTGTCATTTTTCTCATTACTATTTCAAACTTAAGGAACTTTCATGTGACATCTAAAATGAGACAAACTACAGTAGATCCAGTATCGTAGCCAGAGTGGTAAGATTGAACGAGAGCATAATGTTGGACCACACTTTTTGAAACACTAAAACGCCTCTTTTCAAAGGTAATTTTTGCCATTGGGGGTGAGGGTTTGCGTCCAGTCCCTCTTGCTTCCCCCTCACTAAGCTACTGAGTAGATCCAAGCTTTACGAAGTAACTGCAATGTTGACAAACCTTTTTGCCTGTAGTACGATTTTAGTAGTATGGTACAGCAATGAACTTTAAATGGTCAATCAATGTTTCTAGCTTTTTGAAAGTTGTTGACTTCAAGTAGCCTTGTATTTCTTGTTGAGTCTAAAGTTATAGAAAAGTAGTCAGCTTGAAATATTGAGTTTAGCAATCTAACTATTGTCTTTAAAATAATGTCTAATGCATAAAATCATGAAATTTTGATGTCAACAGTTTTGATATTTTCATTTAGCTGGAAAAAAAGGAATCAGAGTTGTCTCATACATAAAAAGAAATGAACATGTACAGAACATTCAATGATAGTATTTACCAGCTGTAGATGCTAAAAAGCTAGTGACCAAAGGTAATTTGCCTATCTTGTTTCGCTTAGCCGAAAGATTATACGAAGTTTCAACTGTTGCATTTCGTATATTTATAACGAGAATCATCTTTAACCGTTTATACTTGTTTTTCAATCGCCTTGGTTGATAAGGTTCTTTTCTGAACATTTTGCAAAAATATGAATGTGAACATCATGACTGCTACATAACTTGAAATACGGTTGTCACTGTCAATGAACGTAAAATCATACTACAGCAAGTACAGTATTTTGCTAAAATTATTTGTACATGGAACAAGAAATATATAATGTCAAAAAAGTCTTTTTAGAAATGTTTATTAGTCTTAGCCTAAAAGGAGCAAATTTTTAATTAGTCAAATGTGGTAGATTTGCATTTTATCGCATTGTAGCCTGATCAGAGCTGGCCGCAATTCTTATCTGTGAAACAGCTAGAGAGAATCAGCTGCGTGCTCATGTGCTCATCCTCTTTAAAAATCATCTCGACATGACTTTGTTTGAAAATGACATTAACCTGGCTCTGACTGCAGCTTTCTATGTCCATGGAAACTTGGATGTTGCTATGAATGCAGATTTAGTTTGACCTTACGCTTATGGCTAAGTACACCTTTATCTAACCTTTTAGAGACTTGTTCATCGAACTGCTTTCTCGATTAAAGCCTCAAGGCTTGAGGTTATGTTCAGCATATGTGACCAAAGAAACTGCATCCTATATAGAACTTCTCAATATATATCTAAACTGTCCTAATTTTAAGTAGTATTTTTTAACCAGAATAAATTCTAAGAAAACATCTCTTCAGATTATGCATAATGGAAGGCTGTTTTATTCTATCAATCACTCCAAAGTGTTTTGCAGACGGTTGAAGGATTTTCAGAAAACAGGTGCTATCTTGGACATTAAGAATATAAACTGTCTAGAACTATGTCAAGAATCGTCCAACAATACTGAAAAGCATTTAAAAGTGTTTTCACAATAAAATTCACACAATGAATTTTTTGACATATTTTATCATTATTCTCTACTTGTTCTATCTTTGCAAGAAGGACAAATTTTTTTGAGCAGTTAACTGTTCATAAACGCATTCAAAATGTTTTTGTTATCACAACAAAATCCTTGATATAGCTTAGCAGCATTTCAAGTACATTAAAAACCAACAATGGAACAAAAACACTATGCTTTGGATTACCTATGTACTACGTTAACCAATAGTGACAGCTTTGTATCTTAGAGGCAGACTTATTGATCTTATTCTTGCATTTTGCATTAAGTGTTTGTAAATGGAGTTTGAATGCTGTTATCGAACATATTGGTAGATCGTAGCAAAATTGCTTTACAGTGACTAACATTTTCAAAAAAGAATTTACCAATGTTTCCTTTCATTCATATTATCTGACGTTCTCTCAGATTCTTTCTTGGTATTTTGTAGAATTAAGCAAAGTAAAAAGTGACAAAAATGTTGTTTTGTATTTCTAGAAATATTCATACGCTGGTTTTATTTTCTAGATAGATAAAATTCAATTATATTGGGTAACAATATCTTTACTGAGTTTGTGAGTTATTTTGGTTTTTCTTTTTTAAGCAACTAAATGTAAATCACTGATTCAAGTTTTTATTTAATTAATCGCTTTTGTTTTGAAGCTTCCTATTTACCCAAAAGAACTACTTCCTGATATCATTAATACTTCCCTGTATTTTGTTGTACGTAGATGATCTAATGTGCTGGTGATTGTGATATCTACAATACAGTTTAACCCAAAATGTTTGAACTTGCAAAGAGCCAGGCAAAATAGTTCGAACAAGTATGGTTTCAATATTCTGAGTGAATAAAAAAGTGAAAAGAAACACAAGAAGCACAACTATGAAATGAGGAGCTATGAAATACTGCCTCCATCTTCGCTTAGGTATAAACAATGTCCCAAAGCTTATTTTTAGTTGCAACAAAATTATCCCAAATGCTTGTTTTCAAAGTGGCCTTTCAAATTGCAGCATCAACAGCTCTCAACAGATGCAATGTCAATATAATAGCAAGTTTTCCCACTTTGAATTGACTCTAAGAGTATTTAAATAATTTCAGTATTGAAATAGGGGGCTGGGGGAAGAGCTTGTTACCTTCTTTAAAATGAATTTTCAAAAATCTCAACCACTGTTGTCCAAAATAGTAGCTTGAGTGTGTTTCAAGTTTTGTTAGGAATAATAAAAAGAATAAAGGAAATTTTGGTTTTTCTTGCATAAACACTACTGACGTAAAAAGTTAATCAGGAACGAAGAATATTTGACGCCAACGGATAATGATAACGTGTAAAGAAGCAAGTGAAGACTTATGAACTTTTGGAATCTAAGGAAGAAAAGAACAGCTGCGGAGAGAACGTGTTATGCAGAAGGAAGTGATACACAGCTTAAGAAGAGCAAATCATGTACAAAAGTCAAAAGCTGACAAAGAAAAGAAGAGTATGGAGTGCTGAGCCACCGATATTCAAACTATTCTCAAGGCTCTCGACTTCTCTCTACTCCTCTCCTCTCCATATAACTCTACCCCTCTCAAAAGCTCTAGACAGCTCTCGACACCACTCTTCTAAGTGGGCAAACTCTTGACGTTTCACAACATTAAGGTCGAGCATTGTTGAATAATAATTAGAAGAATTTCAACTAGCCTTGACCGAAAGAAATATAATCATAATATATTCACCTTGAACACTACATCTACTGGCACAGTGTGAAGGAGGATCGGTTTAATGGACTGTTCTGAGTCAATGTAGGAGCTAAACAGGTTTAGTTCTCACCCCTTTTATGTCAGGTCTGTCATCGCAGTGCATTACATAACAAATGATTAAAAGAGAGAAGAACCAACTGCATATAGGGCGAAGAAAAAAGCTGAGAGGAAATTAACCGATCTACAATCACTGCCAAAAGTCTTGGAACACTAACGTAGGTTTTCAAAGGCCAATTTAGCCATCCCCCTCTCCCCCTAGGATTTACTATAGAGAAAAGAAAGGGGTTATGGAGCACGTTTTTTCTTTGTGGATTGTTTGATATTTTTCTATACTTTCAACATTGTTTTGGGGCGAAAGGGGGGCTGAAGTGATAGTATTCAAGAAAACAAATGAAAAATAGAAAAGCACAGCGCAAAGTGTTAGGTGTTCCAAGTAATTTTGGCAGTGATTGTAGAAATTTGTGGAATTAGAATAGGCATGACGCAGATAGTAGATCTGTGCTGGGCAAAAATGAAGTAGCATATGACAGTATCCTCTTGATAAATTGTATAGAATGATTTATAGAATGGAGATCGCCCATGAAAGAAACATTGCTATGGCGAGGGAATGACCACGCTCAGACTCAACGAACAGAAATTAAAAGCAATGCTTATTAGAGACAAGCAATCAACTTCTAGAGAGTAAAGCGTGCAAAAGAAGACAAGGAATAGCACTGAATGGAACAAGTATTATTTAATGATAATGACATCTGGAATAAAGCTATTACGGCCACTTGCTATATCATTGAAGCCTCTGAAAAACCATATATGAATATGAACAGATCTAATCTAAAGAGACTCGGCTTAAATCTATGCGATATCAAAAACGTTGAAAAGGCAGTATCTCGAGATATCACGCCACAAGTTGATTCACTATCATAAATTTACTTATGATAATGGATCTTTTTTCTGTACTTTGCAATATTTTTACTAAGATTATTGAAATGATAAGTCATGATTTGATAAAAACTGGCGTTTTCCTCTACCATGTTTTGAAATATAGCAGGTGCTGCCCTTCATCTCATAGAAATATTTGTACAGGAGTAAGAGAATTTTCTCTGCGAAAATGAAAACTGTATCTAAAATTCTGGCCAGAGCGATTGTTTTGTATGTCTTAAGTTCGTAAATTTATGTTCTTTTTCTAGTAAAACTGAAACGTTTCCCCGTATAACAGAGAAGAAAGGGTTTTCGTTAGCACAATATGTCATACATTGTATGGCTGCTGTTCATGGTATCAACATTTTTAGATGATTGCTTGTGTCTGAAAACGTTTAGCTGTTAGCTGTTAGCAACCGACTTTCTTTATTTTCGCTTTTGCAAAACATGAATAGAATATATTTTGAGGAAGAGATAGGAAAAAGGCAACGTCATCATCAACCAATAAACCTTAGAACTACTGTCAATAGTTGATGATAAACCAGAATACAAATACTCTCCATGCTCTTCTAGATTTATGTCATAACTAATGTAAAACTAAAGTAAACTTTGAAACGACAAATCTTCATTGAAGGTTCTAAAGTTGGATGAAATGTTTTGATTTTTCAGTCACTTTGCTATGCCTCAAACTGTAGCAGTTTAGTGAATTTAATAAATTTTGGGGAGTTCTGATCTATCCATGAAAGTTGAACTTTTTTTATCAGCTGTTTTTGTTATGTCAAATATATGGAGGTGTGTTATTAAATTATGAATGTGACCTGAAAAATTATAAACATGGTACGTTACTAATCCTAAACCCATGAGGTACAAAACATACGTGACATCTATTTGCGCTGTTATTGATCAAGAAAAATGTTGTCTGTAAATTTGTAAGATCAGAAAAAATCATCATAAACTAAATGTTCTGATATAAGGAGAAAAAATTGTAGCGGTTACTCAATTTAAGAAAGTTTCTAATCATTATACTTAACTATTTTAGCTCTCGCTGTTCTCAAAGTTATTGATTTTGGACTGAGGCAAGGATTCTATTATTTGATAGTCAAACAATCTTTTGGTGGTACAAAACTTGTAAATGGCTTTGA